GCGTCTGCAACGGAGCCTCTGTCGGAGGAAACTGGGAGGAGTGAGGGGCAGCACGCTGGCGCCCCTCGGCACAGGGGACACAGGCAGGGCCAGGGCCCTGAGGAAGGGGAGGGAGGGACCAGGGAAGACCAGACACAAGGAGACGGGAGGCCATAGCCTCTGAGCCGAAGTAGAGAGGGGTGACCCAGGCGGTGGTGCCAAAGGAGAGTCTCGTGAGACAGGCGACGACACGAACAGGGGGCAGACTCAGGACCAGACCTGGACGCTGCAGGAAAACACCTTACCTGACGAAGGGACCCGACCAGACGCAGGAACTGGGGGAGAAGCAGTGGTCAGTGTGTACAGGCTCGACCCCGGCTGACGTGTAAACGTAGCCAGGTGACGACCTGTGCTAGCCTCTGTGTAGTGCGTCACCCTCTGCCGAGCAGGGGTGAACTGGTGGACTCCCGCATCCTGTAGGTCAGCACCACTCACCAAGTTCGTTGAGAACGAGGGGAGGTAGAGACGAGACAGGGTGCCCGAGGGAGCCGCCGGACACGGGAGGACTGTGGAGAAGCGAGACAGAACAGGACCTCCAGAGGGGTCAGCCAGGGACACCGCAACCGGCCGACTGAGCGGCGTGAGTGTGGTACGGTCCCGAAAGAAGGAGCGAGACGCTCCAGAGTCAAGGGTGAAGGTGTGGGAGGCCGAAGCCGACGCAGTACCTGAGAGCGCAGACTCACTAGTACCTGAGAGAGCAGCCTCACCAGTACCTTGGAGCACCGACGCACTGGCACCTAGAGCAGACGCCTCGCTGGCACCTAGAGCAGCAGTACCAATGCCCGGGTTGGGCGGGAAACACCGGTAACACTCACCCTCGTCACTAACGGTCACAGCATACATGGCAGCAAGGATAGCATCAAAGTCAAGATCAAAGATAGCTACACCAGCCCTAGACAGCTCTCCCTAGCGGGGGATCTCCGCGGCCTCTGGGAACTGCTGGCGCCAGGCGTCCGTCAGGCGGCCAAAGCAGCGCTGGGCGGTCAAAGCAGCGCTGGGCGGTGTGGGTACCCCCACACTGCTCTCCAGCGCGGTCGCCAGTACGAAGAACATAGGTGCAGGGACCAAAACCCCCACCACACTGACGCTGCGTGTACCACTCAAGGAGCTGCTGAGGGGTGGGGACGTCGCGAGAACGCTGCTGCTGCTGGCGCTGACCACCCCCAGTGCTGCTCCGCTGCGAAGTGCCACTCCGACCACCTCCACCACCGCCACCCCCGCCTCCGCCTCCACCGCCCCCGCCTCCGCCTCCACCGCCACCGCCTCCGCCACCTCCGCTCCCACCGCCACCGCCGCCGCTGCCCCCGCCTCCACTGCCGCCACTAGCACCCCCACCTCCGCCACCACCTCGACCGCCACCCCCACTCCCTCCGCCGCCTCCACCTCCACCTCCACCGCCCCCGCTGGTCCCATTCGCTCCCTTGCCCCCCTTGCCCTTGCCAGAGCGGCGTCTCCCGCTAGGGGCAGACGCCGCACCGACCGACTCGAGACCAACGAGGTCGGCCGCAGCGGCAGAGGCGACAGAGGGCAGGAGAGGGGAAGGAGAACACCCCTCAAAGATGGGGGCGCGAGGGTCACCCCGAGAGGCTCCTACAGCGACTATGCTCTTCTCTGCAGCTAGGAGGGCCTTCTCGAGGCTGTCGACTGTGAGGGTGGTGGGACAGACCGCGAGGAAGTGGTCCCGGACTACACGAAGGGAGTCAGGGAGGCGAGTGACTAGAAAGTAGAGAGTGATGTACATGGGGGGGGGGTTCTTGGCGCAGAAGTCAGCAGGAAGCGCAGCGCGGTAGCGAGTGTCACTAGTGCGGAGGTGCGTAATGAGGTCAGCGACAGTGGGAAAGGCGGCGAGGTCAGGAAAGAGGAAGGGGAGCATGAGGCGGCTCCGTGCAGCAGTGGTAGGGGAGGAGTAGCGCGCAACTACAGCGTCGTACAAGGTCTGGGCACTCTTGTACTGGCTAAAGTGCGCGCGCTCAGCGGTAGGCAGGTGGCGACGCACAGCAAGACGTGCAGCAGCATCGCGCGTGGCCCACTGTGAGCGAACAGTGGCGTCAGCATCAGCAGCAGGGGCAGGGACGGCGCCAGAGGTGAGATCAAAAAGAGAAAGCCCGTCTGTCCTATCGCAGTGTAAGAACAGCTGCAGGTCGTCAAGCTTGACCTCAAAGTCAATGGCACGACCCTCATCGTCAAAAGCAAGGACACTAGGGGTAGCCATGACTGCAGTCGGCGATCTCACCAGACAGGACGGGTCGGGGAGCAAAGCAGTACAGCAACACAGCAGCACGGCCGGTCCAGTAGCAACAGCAGCACCTCAGCAACAGCGGCTCGGCTCCACGGGCGGCTCGGGCGGCTTGGGCGGCTCTGGCGGCTCGGGCGGCTCGGGCGGCTCGGGCAGATCGAGCGGCTTGGGCGGCTCGGGCGGTCAGCAGCTCAGGCGACCCGGGCGGCTCTGGAGTTCGGGCGGCTCGGACGGCTCGGCTCCTCAGCTGCGCAGGCGGCTCGGGTGTCGTGACGGGTGGCTCACGGGCGGCTCACGGGCGGCGCACTGGCGGCGCACGGGCGGCTCACGGGCGGCGCACGAGTGGTGCACGAGCGGCTCACGGGCGGCTGAAGGCGGCTGACGGGCGGCGCACGAGCGGCTCACGGGCTGCTGAGGGCAGCTCACGGGCGGCTCACGGGCGGCTGAGGGCGGCGCACGGGCGACTCACAGGCGGCTGAGGGCGGCACGCAGATGGCGCGCGGGCGGCCTGGGGCCTGGCGAGCGGCGCGCGGGCTGTGTAGGGCGGCGCGTGGGCGCTAGGGCGGCGCGCGAGCTGCGTAGGGCGGCGCGCGGGTTGCGTAGGGCGGCGCGCGGGCGCTAGGGCGGCGCGCGGGTGCTAGGGCGGCGCACGGGCTGCGTAGGGCGGCGCGCGGGCTGCAAAGGGCGGCTCGCGGGCTGCAAAGGGCGGCGCGCTGGTGGCTAAGGGCCGGAACAAGCGACGCGCGAGTGTGAAAGAGAGAGCCCGGAGCGCGCTTCGGGCAGAAAAAAAAAAATCGCAGTAGTGGTGGGCCCTAAGCACAGTTCCCACAGGGGAACCTGCTCGATACCATGAGAAGAAGTGAACGAGAATGAATGACTAAGGAATGGAAGTGATACAAATAGGAAACCCTAATTGGGTTGTACCCCCTATGGGATACCCCACTATAGCCTACACAAATATATAAGCTATAATGTTCTGACAATTGCGACATAGAGAAGCGTTGGTTGGATGGCGGCAGCAGACAGTAGCGGGCCCAACGGGTCTCCCTGCCGCACTCCTTGCGAGCTCATGATTTTCTCCTCGCCGAACGCCGCGTCAAGAAGTAGTGGGGATGCGCCGTCGTATAGGTTATGGACTAATGGGATCAAGGGATTGAGATTGGATTATTGGAGCGCATTAAAAAAAGCCCCCCTCTCCACACTGTTGAAGGCGTTCTCTACGTCTAACTAGATAGCTACGCGGGAGTGGATGATGCACTCGGCACCTCCCTGTACCGCGACGCCAAGCTGGACTGGGAGGAAGAAGCTCCTTATCGACGCGCCTAATTCACATAGTGCCTCCTTTGCCGCAACGCGTAGGATGCTTTCTCCCATTGCTATGGGGCGGACTCCACCTCCAGGTTTCTCTAGGGCTATCAGGCGTGACGGGAGTAGCAGATCTCGTATTTGCTGGGGAACGAAGTTGCCCAGCAGGTGGTTTATCGCACCCCGAAGTAGCGTCAGGAATTCCTCGTTGCCTAGGGCAGGGTCGCGCAGATGTTCGAAGCAGGTTCCTGACGGGCCCGCACCGACTCCTCCGGGGCATTTCATGAGGATGCCACGAAGGCTCTCCTGGCTGACGGAAAGTTCCGAATTCACCTCCCCCGCCACCCAGAATGGCATTGGTAACTCTGCCTCCGGGTGTTTCGCTCGTAGGGCTGCAATTGTCTCAGCTGTCGCCTTTGCCAGGGGGGTGGTTTGTAACGCCGAGCATGCCTTGGAAAGGTTGCCTTTCCAGACCAGGCCCTCAGCCCTGGAACAAAGTCCTGTGGCGTCGGCTTGGTGTCGGACCGGCTCCTGGCTCGGGGGGATTGTGACCGCTTCGTTGTACAGATTATCCCATTCGCCCAGCCTGAATTTGTGTAGCCGCGACTCGATTTCAGCCCAACGATTCCCCAGCGTCTCCTTGGGTTGAGGGCGAAGGGTCAGCCGTGGGAGGAAAGACAGAACTCTCCATGCACTTGGACAAGTTTGGATTTTTTGCAATCCGCAAAAAGGGCGTGAGCAGGCATATCGAGCAGTTGGTCAGCACGTCAGGTGGTAGTCGTCTCGCGAGGAATGGTTGGTTGCCTTGGGTTAACTTCCCGGTGTCCCAGGGTTCAGTCCTCACCCATAATTTCTCCATTGTCGCCAGCTCATCTGGCGATCGTACATCCTGTGCCCTGCTGTCCCCCGCCGCGCCTGCCACATGTACATTAGCGGTGCCCGGGGGTCCCTGATTGTCCGCCGTGGCCACGTTGGATCGCCGATTGGCCCCGCCACGTCGTCCCGTAACCCCTTCCTCCTAGAGCGACACAGCCTCCGACGATGATGTTGCTGAGGCCATAAAACTGGTGTCGTTGGAGGAGCCGATCCTCATCGTCCACTTCCTCGTCCCCCTCTCCCACATCGACGGCTGGGATATCTCGTCTGTGTCGTTCGCGCCAGGGTCCCGTTCTCGTTGGTTCAGGCAGGGCTCGGGCTCGCACGCCGCGTCTTCTTCCGCCTCTGTTTGGCGCGCCGAGTGTCCCCCCTGCACGGCCTGCCGGCCGCCACGGTGTTGCCAGGGCAACCCACCAAACCCGTGACACCGCTCGCACCGCACTTGGCGGTGGTTGCGAAGTTGGCGACGCCGGCTCTCCCGCAGCTCTTCGTGAGTGTCGCTCCCGACGCTCCTGCCTCTGTGTTGCCGTGACGTCCGCCGCCGATGCCATCCCGCCGGCCGGGCATGGCGTCAGATGCTCTTGCTCGTGCGGCGTTTGCTCTTGCCGAGTCCAGCCACGAAGTGGTCCCGGGCGGCCAGGTGCCAGCGCTACTCCGAGCCGTCGCGGCGTTGGCTGAAGGCGGAGCCGGCCCCGAGCGCCAGGGGCGGCGTTGGCGCTCCCCAATGCCTCCCTCACCCCGCTTGCGGGCCCATCCCTATCGGCGCCCTCCTGGCCATCCCCCTCAGCAGAGGCTGAGTCGCCGTCAGCGGTAGCAGCAGGGGCAGCCATGGTCACAGCCTCCGTCGTGACAGCAGCAGCAGCCTCGGCAGCCGCGGCGTTTGCAGCGTCGTCCTCCACAGGAAGCCGCGGCAGCAGCATCACCCGCAGCTGCAGCATCCGCCGCGCCCCCCTCCGGAGCCGCATCAGCCTCCCGTGGTGCCTCCTGTGAGTGATCCGTCGCCGCAATTTCCCCCCCTGCCTGGCGCGTTTCATCCACAACCGCCCGCTCCTGCTCCGCCCGCTTCTCCGCCGTTTGCCTCTGCCAGGGTGGAGTCGGCCTCGTCACAGTCTCACAGCGGGGCTACGACGCCAGGCCGCCCTCCGCGCCTCGGGGCCTTTCCATGGGAGTCGTTGCCACCTGATGTACTGGAGGCTCCTCCTCCTGACTCTCCCCTAGCACCGCTGGAGCCTGTGGGACGACTCTCCCCCTGCAGAGCGAGCGCTTTGCGTCGAGCAGCGCGTGTCGAACGTGGGGACGTGCTTGGCGCTAGTGGCGGACGTGCTAGACCAGCTGGGCGCTTATCAGATCCCGATGCAGTGCGATGCCTTCGATGATGTCGGCCCCAGAGCAGTTGGAGGCAGTGGCTTCAACGATGCAGATCTTGCACATGTTGCCTGAGATCGGCCTCGTGCCAAGCTCCCCCGGGTCTGCTTTGGGGCCTGGCCCCGCGGCGTTGAGGCGGCTTGTCCTCGCCACTTTGCAGGCTCCACTCGACATCACGCCAGCCGCCGCATCCGTGTTGCGCTGGATGGACGGGCGACTGTCTTGGATCCTGGTCGAGTAGCGGCCCCTTTCCCCATGCCCGCCTTTTTGCTTCCCCCTCGGGCCTTGGGCTTCCCCATAGAGTCGAGTCCTCTCTTGGGGGTGTTGATGTTGGAGCCCCTATCTACTGCTGTTTGCTGTAATGCCTCATGTTATAGTTCTTTCCCGTCGGTTGTTCTTGCCGCCCCTCAGCGCGCGGCCGAAGGCCGCGCCGGCGGCCGGCGCGAGCCGCTGGGTTAGGAGAACAAACACAGCTTGGGACCAAAGAATGAGAATATGCACTAGGCCCCAGTGCTTAAATACTACCTAGGAGAGGGCTGAGAGGCTAAGGACTAGATCCCGCAGTACAGCATCGCACCAGCTTCGTAGGTGCCCGCAGATGATTGGCGTGATGAGTCTTGTCACCTGCACAACGCACACACCAAGTCATCCTCGCGCTAGCGACTGCACCTGATCCTCCACATCGACCTCGGGATACCACCACCGGGGTTGGTCTCCCCAAAATCGCCAAGGCGACCGTCGCACTCCTCCGCAGAACCTCGTCACCCAGGTAACCTGGTCGACCGGGCAACCACGTCGACCAGCTGCTCCTGTATGTGTCCGTGGACCTCTCAAGTTGACGTCCACCTCCAGTCGAGTTCAACAGGTCGACCACAACCCTGGTCGACAGCTCCAGGTCTACGTCAGTCCTGTTCGACCAGCTCCACGTCGACCAGCATAGTTGTAAGCCGACCACCCAAGTCGGCTACCCAAAGTCTGTGTCACCAAGTAGACGCCCTGCTACTCGACGCCCAGCAGCTCGGTGTCCTGAGTCGTGGTCAACGTCGACCCCTCCTTCGTTGACCACCAGGTTAGGTCGTCCACCTGATCGACATCACGCCTGGTCGACCAACCACCAAGCTGACCAGCAGGCCTGGTCAACCAACAACCAGGTCAACCAGCAGTCCTGTCATCCGACCACCCAAGTCGGCTGCCCCAAGTTGGCGTCACAAGGTCAACGCCCTCCGCAGTTTGACTTCCCAGGTCGACCTCCCTGAAGCCTGCGCCACCTTGAAGTCGGTGCCCGTGCAGTGGCCCCCGTGCAGGTCGACCTCCTCGTCAACCAGCTCGCCCACTGCTGCAGGTCGGCTGCTCCCCTCACACTCGACCACGAAGTCGGCTCCGCCCAAGAGGGAGGGGCCAACACACAACTCCCGTTGACACTCCCCTACCGCGTTCACGCTTGGCCCCCTAGCCTACACGACAGTACTCCTCGGAGAATAGCTCGTCGACGTGCACCCAACACACATCACGTCGTCCACCGCACCAGCCATGCAAGAGGGCATGGCACCTACTGCTGCACGTCGTTGTCGCGGTCGCCTACATCAACCAAGCACACCTGGCCGATGGTGACGGAGCACTGGTTGAAGGCCGGATAGTGCAGCGTTTTAGTCAGGAAATCGGCCGGCTGCTCAGCAGTCGGAATGTACTTCAGCGAAAACTTCCCGCGATTCACCATGTGCTGCGGCAAGGCCTGTCGCCACTCCATGTTCTTGAGGTTGCCCATCAACCCCATTCCCTCTGCGACTCTGATGGCCGACTTGTTGTCCACTAGAAGGACAGTCGGCTTCCCGGCATCCAGCTGCCAGAACTCTGCGAGGAGGAAGTGAAGACCATGTCCCTCCTTGCTGGCTTCTGTGGCCGCCACGTACTCCGACTCTGTCGACGACAGCGTTGCGCACTTGATGCGCTGGCTCGACCAGGAAACTGCGGCCCCTCCGTAGACAAACACATAGCCGCCCGTGCTCGTCCGATTCTGCTTGTCACCGGCGTCTTCGGCGTCCACGTAGCTGACTAGCTCCAGCGACCCTGGTCTATCGCCGAACTCCAGGGCGGTGTCTCAGGTGTTGGCCAGATAGGCGAGGCAGCGGTCGACCTCGCGCCAGTGCTGGTCGCTCCTCACTGTGAGGCCGCTCCCTAGCTTGCTGCACGCGAAGGCGATGCCCGGCCTCATCGTCATCGTCGTCGTTGCGAACTGCAGCGAGCCAACCTTCTGCCAGTACTCCTCCTCCTTTCTCTCCTGTGCCTCCTCGTCGTCGAAGGTGAGCTCGGCGTAGGCGTCGACCAAGACCGGCGTCTTCGGGGTGCGCTCGGTCTGCTCCTCGTTGATGAAACGCCTACGCAGCTTGTCGGCGTAGCCCTGCTGATGCAGCCACAACTTCCTCGCCAACCTATCGCAGACAATCTCCAGCCCGAGGTACTTCTGCACTGGCAAGATCTGACGCAGCTCGAAGGCGGCCTGCAGCAGCTCCCTCAGGATCGCGGAGCTGCTGCTGGCGGCGAGCAGGTCGTCGACGTAGACCAGCACCCAGCAGGCCACTCCGTCGTCGCCGACCTTGAAGTACAGAGCCTCGTCGACCCGACTCTTCTTCCACCCGGTGCCGCCCAGCACGTCGTTGAGCGCCAAGTATCACAGCAGCGGCGTCTGCTTCAGCCCGTACAGGCTCTTCAGCAGCTTGCACACCCGGCTGGTTCGGTCGTTGAAGTAGTCCGGCTGGGACATGTACAGCATCTAGTCAAGCTTGCTCTGCAGGAAGGCGTTCTTCATGTCGAGCTGCTTCAGGTTGAGGTCGAGGATGGCAACGATGCTGAGGAAGATCCTCAGCGTGACGTAGCTGCCCACCGCCATGAGCGTCTCGTCGTAGTCGGCGTCGTACACCTGCGTGAAGCCCTTCACGACCAGCCTTGCCTTCTCGCGCTTGACGGTGTCGTCGATGCGGTACTTCGTCGTCAGCACCCACCGGTTCTTTATGATGTTCACCCCCGGCGGGCATTCAACCAGCTCCCAAGTGCCCATATTGATGAGGCTGCGGATCTCCTCCTCCATGGCGGCCTACACAGCTGGGCCCTTCCAGCTAGCCAACGCCTCCTTCACCATCATCGTCGAGATGTCCCGACGGTGCTCGGGGTCTCGATGCATGTCGCGGTCGAGCTCCGGAAACTCCTCATCCTCCTCGGCATCGTCATAAGCCAGGTCGTCGTCATCCTCGTCGTACACCGTGGTAAAGGCAGCGGGGACGAAGAAGTCGGGTGGCCTCCGAATTCGGCCTGACTTTCGGGGTGAAGAATGAACCTCCACCACGTCGCTCATGGTGGACTCCTCGGCGTCCCCTCCTTCGTCACTGGCTTCGCTGCCTTTGGCGTCCTGCTGCACCTCAGATGGCATCCCGACCGACTTCTCCCCTGCGATCGGCTCCCCTGCTGACTGCCCGGTTGCTCACTACTCCTTGGTCGGCTTCACCCCTGCCTGCTCCCCTGTCGGCTACTGCCCTGCTGGTGTTAACTTTGCCGGCTTCACCAAAATCGGCTGCACCTTCTCAACCTGGTCCTCCCCTATCAATGTCGACTTCACTCCCACATCGACTTGCTGCTCGTCTCGTCGACCACCGGCGATGCCCTTGGCCAGCGCTGAAGGCGACGTCCCATTGCTCCCCTCATTGCTAGAGGCCGACACCGGAGTCAGCCCACGCAGGTCGGCCACAAGGGGAGGGTTAGGAGGGGTAGGGGAGGGGAAGGTAGAGGGGACGTCCTCGACGTCCTCGGCAGCACGCTCACCAACCTCGGCGAGCAAAGGGAGCGATGCCGTCGAGGTGTCCGTCGGCGGGGTGGTCGGCGTCCGTCCCGACGCCAGCCCAAGCTCTGACTTCCACACCTCCAGTGACATATCCTCGTAGAACACCACGGTCCGACGTGGTGACCACCCAGTTGGCGTCGATGTCGAGGAGCTCCCAGCCCTTGCTCTCCGCCGACACAGCAAGATGAATGCCCCACTTGGCCTTCGGCTTCAGCTTCCCACCATGTTGCTGCTCGGGGACGAGGAACTGCGCCATACAGCCCCACACATGTGCCAGCGACAAGTCGGGCTTTGTCCCGGTAGTGAGCTGGTACGGTGTCGTCCCTGGCGGCAACGTCGACCTCTCAAGGCAGTTGCAGATCCAGACGGCTTACCGCAGAGTGAGGTGCCACCAGAGGTGTTGCACGCCCATGTGCAGCAGCATCGTCCGTACGGACTCCACCACCGTCCTCATATCCTGCTCCGCCATGCCGTTCTGTTGCGGGGTGTACGGGAAAATAAGGTCATGGACGATCCCCTTGCCGTCCACGAAGTCGGTGAATGCCCGGCCGAGAAACTCCACACATCGGTCAGAACGTAGCATCAGCAACGACCTCTTCGCCTGCTGCTCCACCAACACTAGCCACTTCTGGAACTCCAGAAGTACATCCGACTTCTTGGAGACCGGCCTCACCCACACGTAGCGGGTCTTGCGGTCCTTCAGCAGCAAGAAGTACAAGCTGCCGTCCTTGGCAGCCACGCGGAACGGCCCGCACAGGTCGATGTGCACGACGACCAGCACGTCGTCGGTGTCGGAGCCTTGGTCGGGGAAGGTGTGCCGCGCCAGCTTTCCGCCGCCGCATGAGACACACGGTGAGTCAGCGCCCGGCGCCGACTTGAGTTCCAGCCCAGTGGCGACCCGTGCTTCGCCGAGCTCCGGATGGTGTCCATGCCGACGCCAGCAAGCCTCGCATGCAGCCTGTCCGGTGTCGACTTCGTCGTCGAGACGATCGCCCGCAGGGCCTCAACCTCCGTCGTGGGCAACGTCGACCTCGTTGAGCAGGCACGCATGTCGGTGCAGAGGACACGCCCGGTGTACGTCGCCCGACCGAGGACCTCTCCTGCTACCAAGGCAAGCAGCATCCCGTCGCCGTCTTCCTGCAGCTTCACGTCGTACAAGGGTAGAATGAGCAAGTACAAGGGTAGTTATAGCAAACCTCACCCGAGCACTAACCAATGTGTACACCATCTAGACAATACAAAC